ACATCCATTCATGATTAAAAACTCTTAACTAGGAATATAAAGGAATGTTCTCAATTTGATAAAGACTATAAAAACCTATAGCTAACATTATATTTAATGGTGAAATATTAGAAGCTTTTCTTGTATAATAGGCAATGTTACAAGGGTATCAGCCTTTACAATTTCTATTCAACAATGTACTCAGCATTTTAATAAACAAGATATTGAGACAGGCATAGAAGAAATAAAACTATTATTTACACATGGCATTACTGTATATGTAAAAATCCAAAAGAATCTATAAATTATTAGAACTATTGTGTGAATGACTAGATATAAGATCATTATCAAAGTCTGTTGTACTTCTATATACTAGCAACAAACTATTAGAAAATGAAATTTTAAAAGCATAATGATAACAATTACAAAAAAAAAATCTAGGAATCAAATCTAAACAAAGATATGTAAGTTCTCTACAGAGAAAACTACAAAATATTACTGAGAACATAAAGAATTAAATAAATGGGGGAATACATCATGTTCATGGATTCAGAGACTCAATACTGTAAAGATGTAAATCCTCCCCAAATTGATCTATAAATTCGATGTAATCCTAATCAAAATCCCAGGGTAGTTTTTTTTTCTGAAAAGTGATAGGATTCTAAAAATTAAATATAGAAAGAGCTAGCTAACAACACCAAGACAACAGTGGAAAGAGATCAAGTTGGAGAACTTACATTAACCAAATATGAAGATTTATAAAGCTGCGGTAATGAGGACAACACGGCACTGGCATAAGGATAAACAAACAGACCCAAAGGAATAGAAGAGTGGATCCAGAGATAGACCTGAACACAGACCGTTACCGGACATGACAGAGGTGCAATGGAGGAAAGGATTAATGTTTCAGTAAGTGGTGCTGGGTTATCTGGATATTCACAGGGAAAAAAGTAAACACCAACCTCTACCTCATAACATATATAACAGTTAACTGGGTCCTAAATTCGAAAATGAAAACAATAAAGCTTCTAGAAAACACACATAAGAAAATATCTTTAGGACTCTGGGAAGGCAAAGGTTTACTATACAATATTCAAAAAGCATGAATCATTTTTTAAAATGATATATTAAACTTCAGTAAAACTAAAGAACTTCTATTCATCAAAAGATAATGCTCCAAAAGTGTAATGGCAAGCCACAGAATAAATGAAGGTATTTGCAAGACGAAGATCACATATACAGAAATATAAAGACCTCCCATAAATCAATAAGAAAAAGACAGGCAGCCCAATTTTTAAATGAGCAAAAAACTTAAACAGACATTTTGCAAAAAAGAATAGCCAAGTAGCCAAAAAGCATATGAAAATATGTTCAACATCTTTAGTCATCAGGGAAATGAGAACAAAGCCACAAGATACTACGGCACAGTGACCAAAATCATTGAAACTGCATCAACTGACAAGGCCAGGTGTTGACAAGGATGCAGAGCAAGTGGAATTCTCACACACTGCCAGTAGGAGTGCCAACTGGTAGAACCACTTTGGAAAACTGTTCAGCAGTATTCATAATAACCCAGTACCAGAAACAGCCCAAATGTCCATCAACAGGAGAATGAATGAATGAATGAATGAATGGGTAGTGGTTATTTTCATATAGTACCATACTATACCATAATGAAATAAAGCAATCTAGTGCTACACACAACATGAACATGGATAAACCTCACAAACCTTATACAAAAATTAACTCAAAACAAATCATAGGTCTAAATGTAAAAGGTAAAAGTTTTAGAAGGAAATATAGGAGATCTATGTGACCTTGGGTTAGACAAAGAATTCTTTAATATGACAACAAAAGCACAATCCATATGAGAAAAAATAAATTTAACTTCATCAAAATCAAGAATTTCTGCTCTTCAGATGATACTGTTGAATGAAAAAACAAGGCAAAGAATAGGAAAAAACATTTACAAATCACATACCTGACAAAAGACTTATATCTGGAATACCTAAAGAATCCTCAAATTTTAACCATAAGTAAACAAACAACCCAATTTAAAAATAGGCAAAAGATTTGAATATACATTTCACCAAAAAAGATATATGGATGGCAAATACGCACATGAAAGGAGCTCAACATCATCAGTCATTAGGGAAATGCTAATTAAAACCACAATGAGAAACCAGAACAACTAATATCAAAAACAGCCTAACGGATGATGCAAGAAGTCAGAACAGTGGTTCCCTTTAGAAGGGAATGAGAAGGAGAGGCACGAGGGGACGCTATGGTGCTAACAATGTCTTCTTTCTTGAGCAGGTTGATGAGTTACACAAAGGTATTCATCTCGTAAAAGCTATACACTTATGACCTGCTCACTTTTCCACATGTACGTTATACTTCATTTAATAAGTTCACGTTAAAAAAGAAAAACAAAAAATCTCCATAAGCAACTCCATATGTAGGTGGCTTCACCAGTGAATTCTACCAAACAATTAAGGGAAAAAAACAATAGTCAGTAAACTCTGGCAAAAATCAGATTCTCATTTAATGATGCCAGCATAACCTGATACCAAAACTTGACAGAGACTACAAGAAAGGAAAACTGCAGGACAATCTCTCTCATGGACAAAGCTGCAAAAATCCTAAACAAAATATTAACAAACTGAGGCCAGTAATATATATACATTGAGTTTTATTCCAGGAATGTACTTAACATTTGAAAATGACCAATGTAATTCATCAACAAGAACAGACTAAAGGAGAAAATTCATATAATT